GTACACTGGGAGCAGAAACTTAACTACAGCAAAGGACCCGAGTGAGGTGTGCAAGAGGCACGTCCCCCGCTCACTACACCCTCCACGCAAGCCACCACGGGAACACCCCCGCTGAGACGTCCCAGCGCAGGCTCAGCCCACCCCTCGGGCTGCCCTAGCACCGTGGACCGCGGCTGAGGGCAGGTCTCCCCGCAGCGTCGGGGCGCGCGGAGGCTCAGCCACGTCCAGACCGAGGGCAACCGAAGCCGTGGAACTCGGCCCCGCACAGGCCTCCCGGGGTCAGGCCGCCTGCACCCGGCCCAGCGGAGGAAACCAGGAGCCCCGCCGGCTCCCGCGGGCAGCACTCACCATGGCGCCCCCGGCCGCCTCCTGCAGCTGACAGGCCTGAGGCGGCCCCACGGACCCGCTCATCTGACCGCTCTAGTGCAAAGATGGCGTGAGACAAAGACCCGCGAACTAGCAAACCCGAGAGGGCCCGCCCCCGAGCCCGGCGGGCGTGCCTGATTGGGTCGCGCCCCAGTCCCCGCCCCCACCCCGCCTTGAGTGACCGCAGATGGCACCAACCCACGACTGAAGGAGGCAGAAGGCCCTGGATTAGTGGCAGCCGCAAAGGGTTTTTTTCTGTTGTTGTTGTTTTGTAATTTGTTTTCCTGAGACAAGGTCTTGGCTGTGAAACCCGCGCTGGCCTTGAACTCGTGACAATCCTTCCGCCAAAGCCGCAAGGCGCTGGGCTCACAGGAGCTGACCGCTGTTCGCCCCTTGTCCGAAGCTGTCACCCGAGGTGGATTCAGAAAGTCACGTGAATGACGAACTCTACACAGGAATATGTTATTCACAAATGTAAAAAAAAAAAAAAAAAAAAAAGACAATTATTTTTACATTTCCGTCACCATTTTTCTTAGGTATTTTTCTTTGATCTCTGTTTCTTTCTTTGATTTTTGGCCCTAGAGCTTTGAACAGAGAAGCTGATAGAAACCTAACGGGAACCGTCGGTCAAGTACAAACAAAAAGGCGAGGGACATTGTCATTTAAAAATTCCTGGAGTTCACGTTTAAAAGAAACAATCTGACTGCGTTGGTTTTAACTGCCCCCCTGGAGGGGCCACCGAGGGGCCAGGTCCTGCCCCCGAGGACCGCCCACCGCTAGGCTCCGCCCTCAGAGCGCTCTAAAGGCCTCAGGGATAGGCCACGCTCCACCCCACAGAGGAAAGCTCGTGCTCAGGACCTGAAACCCTGGTAAACTCCTCTCCTTCCTCACCCCCCCAAAGGTCTCCAGCCCAGTTCTCTGCTGCTTCTCTGCTGAGCAGAGACAGCCACCCGCCTGTGTTTCTCCCACCAAATCTCGGTGACATTTACACTGTTGTCTCTGTTAGTATTCCTGCCGCCTGCTTCGCGGTTGCCTAGTAACCGTGATGTCATCATGCGTTTGCCGGCCAGGTAGACCTGCCCAGGAGCTATAAATAGACTCTTACCTCCCCTCTCTCTCTTGCTCTTGCGCTCTCTTGCTCTGGCCTGCTTTCTCCCCTCCCCCTATCATGTCACTCTCCTTCTCTTCATCTCCATCCAATGAACCTCTTTTATATAATATCTGCTGTGCGCATCATCATTTCACTCAGCAGCAACCTTCTCCCTGAAGCACGCAGGAGTTTTACCTACCTGGGGAAATTAAAGGTGCAAGAGGGTTATGGAGTATTGGCCCTTGGTGGGCTAGCTACCTTTGATTGAAAAAAAAAAAAAATTTTTTTTTTTCTCTCACAGGGCCAGCATATCTCAACGGCAAGGCCTTTCTCCCAACTTCTCCACCTTCATCCTGTAGGCCGCTGCTAGATTTTCAGCTTGCCTATCCTGGGGCTTTTTTTTTTTTTTTTTTTTTTTTTCAACTTAAAAATTGCCCACGAGATTCCATTTGAGCCCATTCTTTTGTTCATGAGACTAAGAACCCCAAGAAGAGACCTTGATTTTTGGGGTGTCATGTGGTGGCTTCTCCTGGACTCCTGGGGAGTCCAGTAACTGTCTAGTAACAGTTTTTCCCCCTGCCTTCAATTCTTTACTAGGAGAGCAAATGAACTTTTTTCGGCATCCCCGAATGACTTCCCGCTGTGGAGCTGTGGGTCGGTGGCAGCAGGGTCCTGAAGATCCCTGGGTAATCTTTGCTGTGTATAAGGCGACCGGACAAACAGCACAGTGAGAAGTCCTGGAGGTCCCCAAACAGACGGTGGCAAGGACCAAGGGCAGCATTTGAGGACCCTAGGCTCAGCTCAGGGACAGGACACTTTCCCCGGTGAAGAGGCTGCTCTGAGAAGGGCTACACAACTCCACAGGCCTGGGGACCACTTTCGGAAGACCTTGGAGAGAAGAGACTTCAGACCACCAACCTCCCACCAGCCCTGCTCTGGGCCTTACGAACAAAGCTGCTGCAGGTGGAAATGGGGAGAGCCAAAGAGAACTTAACCCCACTTCCTGGTTCCGGCCCAGGGGTAGGGGTTGGAGGACACAAAAACAAAAAAAACAAAAAAAAAAAAAAAAAAAAAAAATCAATGACATTCAGATGTACTGACACACAACCTCCTGCAGAGGGCGCCAAGAGCTAGAAATTCCGCTGAGCAAGCCGGAGACTTGTTTTCTGTTTTTACTTTTTATTAATTTCTTCCAGAGAGTGGCGTGTGCCACTTTTCACTTTACCTCCTTTTTCCCTCTTCTCTTATTCTTTTCTTTTTTGTTGAAGCTAAATTCACATAGCATAAATCAAACCATTTTGGCACTTAAACATTCACGATATTTTCCAACTACCACCTCTACCTAATCTGAAAATATTTTCAGCGCCTTAAAATAAAACCCCGAAACCATTACACAATGCAACAATTCCACACCCATTTTCATCCCCTCTCTTATCATGGCATTTTTAGCTGAATTCCTACTAGGCGGAGCCTTTTATGCTCTGACTTAAACTTCACAGCTTAGGGAGGTGGCTGGGTGTCTCCGAAGGTTTTTGGATCCCCGCTGGTTTTGGGGTCTCTCGAGGGTAGTGAACGAAAGCCTGGGCCGGTAGCAGACCGGGGCACGCTCTAAGTCTGCCTCCCGTGGACCTGGGGGAAGCAGCAGCAGACCTACTGTAAGGTAGATGGTGGACATCTGAAGTCCCCGCGTTTGAGAGGTGGAGGCAAGAGGATCAGGAAAAAAAAAACAAAAAACTTAACATGATGACAATAAGGATAAATAAATTTATTTGTACGTGGCATATTATGATTATGCTTATGGGGTACGTGTGATGTTTTGATGATGTACATGTGTGTCCCGTCTAAGCCAGGGCGAACATCTACCCCTCAAACGTTTGTCATGTCTCTTTTTAAAAGGAAATTTTATTCATCATAAATGATGCATGTGTGGGTGAGAGCCAGTACACACAGAGGCCGGAGGTGTTGGCACCCCTAAAGCCAGAGTTACAGGTGTTTGGGGGCCGTCCACCAGGGGTCCTGGGAACCTTACTTGGACCCTCTGGGAGAGCAGCAAGTACTGCCAACCACTGAGCCACCTCTCCAGCCCTTGTCCTGCGTTGCTGTCTGTCAGCAAGATAGATCCTCTGTGCACCCACAGACCAGAACTTCCTGCTGCCATTTAACTCCTAACTCAGCATCCTTCGACCAGCTCCTTTTGTCTCTCCCGTTTTGTCCCCAAACTCAGCGGTCTCTGAGATCAACATTTTCGCTTCCATGTGTGAATGGTGCTGCACCGGACTCATTTTTACATAGCATAACAGTCTCCAGCCCTGTCCGTATTGTTGCAGACAGCAGGTGTCACTCTTTCCTGGTAGTAGTTCCCCACTGCCTGTCCTTTCCTCCTTCAATAGCGTGGACTTATTGAATGGCTCTTGGCTATCAAGAAGACAGCAGCAGTGACCATGGAGTGCACCTGTCACTTTTACACACTGGAGTCATTTCCTGTGAGTGCAATTTTCCAGGAGTGGGAAGCTTCAGACAGTAGTTCTTTCTAATTTCTTGAGGGGGATCTCAGTTTTCCGTCATGGCTGCTCGGGAGAGAGCTTGCTCTAGCCTGATAAACTGTAAGTCCTTCCTGACTCCCAGGGACAGGTGAGGTGAGCGTCCGCTGTCATGGCTGCCTAGCTAACACATGTGGTGCCTTTTCATATGTGTATATAAAATAACTTGTTCCCCAGAGGGTGCGCTGCAAAGAGGCGTGCAGAGAAGGACTTGGGGCTGGACTTTCTCAATAGCTCTCAGCCCAGAATGCCTGAGTCCCGTACCACCAGCCGAGTTACAAGAGCACTCCACCCTGCCCAGGGCCAGGTGGCCCTCCCTGAGAGCTCCTTCTCACCCACAGCCTCCAGGAACACCAAGTCAATAAGCAGGAAAACTAGGTCAAATACAGCCTGGCCCACTACCTCACTAAGTGACAGGTTTAACAGCAGCTCAAGAGAAGCTTCCATGAGTTTCCCGTGGTGGGGGACAAGGAAAAGATGAGAAAGGTTTGGCTTGGATTTTTGAAAAGGAGTCTCCACAGCCACTGCCAGAATCAGGCCACTTTCAATAGCAATGTTACAAGTCCCAAAGGCAGTGGGGCCAATGTCCTGAAGGTCTAATAGCCAGGCAAGTTTATCTGAACTCCACAGTGCTACAGCTGGCTGGGATCCAGCACCAACGGTCTATGTCCTCCCCTTGGGCTCCTGATGGCCCCAAGCTGGCTACGTTGCCACCCTCCAACGGGCCACCTCCCCCATCTAGGTGCCTTTCCTTATCCCTGCTCCCAGTGTCTTTATCTTACACGCTCAGTACAGCTGGCCATGCCCCTCAGGAAGATTTGTTTTTCTCCGTTGCAGTGGCCCCAAAGGTGAGAGCTGGTTATTTTCTGATGCAGTAACAAGACTCAACAGAAGCTGGTGAGCTCATCTAGTATTTGGCTTCTAGGCTCTGCTCCCGTCGCACCTACAGTAGATAAGCTCCCTCACTTGGATTGTGGCCTGTCTACAGTCTTCAGGGAACCAAACCAATCCCCTCAAAGTCATCAGAACCTGGAAAGCAGGCAGCGAACTGAGGTAGGTGAATGTCATCTTGTTTAATGGTACTCCTCCATGTTTTGGTTTGGACTTCTCCTGTGCTCAACAGTCAGGGAGAACCCGTGGCTGTCCTAGCAGGCAAGAACCAAAACACAGGAGAGCCCTCATAAAAATGAGGCATGACATACTAGATATGAAGGGCTGCCTAAGGCCGTATCAGGAAGGGCCTCTTAGAACTGGCTGTCCAGTTCCCAATACGTGCTCTCTAAACAGATCGTGCTAACTACCCCAGATTACTGAGTTTTCTGGGGTGCTCACCCCTGCCAAGGAAGGAGCTGCGTCCTTTTAGCCTAGCTGAAGATGTTCTTTCAGGGCAATTGGACAGCAGAGAGTGTGAAAGGTCCTGATGGCCTGAGCCTTTCCTGTTGGACCTAGTTTTTCTCCATGTGTGTGCAAAAAGCAGGAGCCTGGGTTGGAAACTCACGCAAGAGTAGGTGCTGAAGTGCAGCTTGATCGAGAATACAGGGCCATTTGCAGGATACTGCAGGTGGAGTCTGTGGAAAATGACCCTGTTTCTAGGACTAAGAACTCATGTGGTGTGTGAATGAGCAGCTTTCTCTCCTAGGCTGTGTCTCCTTTTTCCAGTTAGACTCCTAGCTTCTCTTTCACCATGTCTGAGATGTCTCTTACTCACCATATATAATGTGCCCCCAATAGATATGGCAAAGCCACACCATGGAGATGCTATTCTGACAAATTTCTTGGTTCCCTTCATCTTCCTGCAGCTCCTGGCTTCTGGGAACGGTAGGACAGCATCACATTTCTCATCCAAGGGGTACCCAGAGTCAAGCCAAAGCTTCTGGTTGAAGCTGAGGACTAAGGGAACTCTCAAAGGGGAAGAGGGGGCCCAAGGGGAGCCCTTGCCCTCTGCATGTGCCCTAACCTAGCCCTTCCATTTGCATCTCTAAGGAAAATCAGATTTCCGTGTCCTTGGACCTCCTGACCCGCTTCTGGCCATAGTCGGGCAAGACAAAGAGTTGCCTTGCAAACTGTCACCCAACATCAGCGCTGAGGGCATGGAGTTGAGGTGGTACAGGAACAAACCCTCCCAAGCTGTGTACGTGTACAAGAATGGGGTGGACATGCCTGAAGAGCAGATGGAGGAATACAGAGGAAGGACCACGTTCACTGGCAACCATATAGCCAGGGGAGAGGCCTCTGTGAAGATACACAACATCACGATATTTGATGATGGGGCTTATCACTGTGTCTTCAAAGAACATACATCCCACAGCCAGGCCACCCTGTGGCTGAAGGTGGCAGGTGAGGGCTGGTGTGGGGGTCTTGGACTCTGCTTGGGGGCTTCTCTCAGCATCAGCCACAGTGGCAGACCACGGCCTCCTGAGGCCAAAGGCTGGAGAAGCTTTGGTGACACCTGCCTCCAGGCAAAGAGATTTTCAAACAGGCTCTGTGTATCCTGTGTTCCCAGGACATAGTTCCAAACAGAAAGCTGTTTCCCATTACACCCTTGTACCAGGAAGGGCACAGATGCATAGGGTTGGGGCGGGGGGCAGCTGGGAGGTGGAAAGACAGAACTGAGATGAAGAGGCAGAGAAACAGGAAGGCAGAATGAGCAGGAGACAGAAAAACGGGAAGGTAGGAGCAGAGAGAAATAACAGAGAAGCAGGAAGGAAGACAAAAAGAGAGGCTGAAACAGATGGGAAGGAGGAGAGTGGGACAGAGGAGCAGGGAGATGGGGAGGGAGATTGAGATTGGGGATATGGAGAAGTTTTCACAGGTGAGCAGAATTTGTTCTTTCTGATTAGACAGACCCCCCAGCTCTTTTCTCATTCTCACACTTAGTAGGGACTTTGGTTTTTTCCATAAACCTGCCCTGTTTCTCTTGACTGCTTTATTTGAAACTGAGGTGCTATGTTAGTAATATAATCACACAGATAGGTGGTCTATGAAGATTCACAGAACTTAACTAAACACCTGCAAGACATCCCTTCCCCCTATAAAAGCAACTGTAGCTGCAGGATCTGAGCTGGTATCTCTTCCTTCAGCATGGGGCTCATCACCCAGAATCCAAGTGGCTGACACCCATGACAAAGGCATACAGGCGGTGTGCATCTCATCAGGCTGGTTCCCAGATGCAGAGGTCAAGTGGCTGGACCTCAGACGACAGCCAGTGCCTGCTAAGACCTTCTTCTTGGCTTCAGCCCCTAACATTACTGTGGCATCCTTTGTGACTCTCCAGGACAGGGCTGTGAAGGGCCTGACTTGCTCCATCTCCAACCCCCTCCTCCCTGAGAAGAATGTGACTAAGACTTACCTGCTTGGTGAGTACCTGTCCAGTTCTGCCATCATAGCCACTGGCACAGGAGTTCAGGCCCTGGGTGGTGGGGATGCTAGGAGAAGACTATGTGAGCAGAGCCAGAGAAGACCTTCCCGACAGTCTGGCCACGAGGGTCACAGGGATGTTAGTTTCCAAGAAGTAGCAATTGGGATGCACGAAAATCCGCTAGGGAAGCAAGAAAGATAAACCCTGTTGTTGACTTTTCTGTTGCTTGTTGCTGATGTTTTAATAGACTTTTTTAGAGAAGTTTCAGTTGATGGAAAATTTAATCAGAAAGTGTGTAGATTTTCTTTTCTTTAAAACAAAACAAAACAAAAATTGATGTATGCTCCATGGTGGTGGGGGGCACGTCTTTAACCCAGCACTTAGGAGGCAAAGGCAGGTGGATCTCTGTGAGTTTAAGGTCAACCTGGTCTGTAGAGTGAGTTCCAGGACAGCGAGGGCTACACAGAAAAAAAAAAAAAAAAGCCTGTCTCAAAAAAACAACAAAACAGAATAAAACCCGATTTATTTCTTTTTATTTTATGTGTATGAGTGTGTTACTGAGAGGGTGTAAGTGCACTGTGTGAGCCCTTGGAAATGGAGGCACAGATGGTTGTTTTGAGCCTCCATGTGAGCGCTGGAAATGGGACCTGGGCCCTCTGGAAGGGCAGCAGAGCTCTTAGCCACTGAAATGTCTCTCTGGCCCCTGGATTTTCTACATACCTCATCTCATAGTCCTAACTTTCCCAGGAATGAAAGTCCATAAGGGGAACCTCACAGGAATGAACAGGCAAGACTCACCAGGGTCAGCAAGTGTGTGGGCTTGGCCGGGGCCAGGTGTGCTGGAGGGTAGGCACTGGAGAACAGCATCTGTTCCCCAAGACGACACACTGCCTGGATGCGTGTGTGTGTGTGTGTGTGTGTGTGTGTGTGTATAACAAAGACACCCCCCCCCATTATTACTGATGACCTGGAATCTCCCCAGCCTCCCCGTGGAGAAAGCCTCTGTCGATGGAAAGGGGACCGGCTCTGCCCTTGATCCTCACGGTACTGGGGCTAGTTTTGGCAGCAGTCGCCTGTGCCTTTGGGAAACATTACAAAGAAAAGCATAAAACAAGTCAGGAAGAAGAAGATCCAGGAGCTGGTGATGAGGCTGAGTCCTTCCATGGTGAGTGGACCTGACCTGCGTGCCAAGCTCCGCTCTGAGGCTCTGCCTTTGTGTCATGCAATGGAGAAAATGTCTTAGTGGGGATTTCCCAACTACAATCCTCCCAGTGGAAACCCTTCAGCACTGAGAGATTCCTTGGTTAGTTATTCTTCACAAGATAATTCTGGGAAATAGACACGGCCTCCTTCGGCGAACTAGACAGACAGGAGCTTGAAGCTTGGGTTTGACCTTTTTCCAAGACTGAAACAAAATACCCGAGGCTGGGTGATGCATAAGAAAATGTTTGTTCAGCTCACATTTTGGTGTCTAAATGTCAGGTGGACCATGTGCTTAGGGCTATTTGGCTGTGTCACATCATGGTGGATAGCAAAACAGAATAAGCAAGGGATCTGGGGATCAGGGTCATAGTGGGAACCAACCAGGGTCCCCAGAGAACTAAAGAACGCTCTCATGAGTCCCTTACCTTGGTTGAGGCTCCATCTCTTACAAGTTCCCCCACCTCCCACTGTTCACACTGAGGACCAGGGTTCTAATCTGCAAAGCTAGAGGACACATGCCAGTCACAGGCAACCCTGAGAAAAGCCCACATCTGGGGCTCTGGCTGTGGGGTGCGGGTGTGAGCTGCAAGTTTTCTGTCTGTTGGAGGTGGACTCTGCCGCTCAGTCTCTCTGTCTGTGTTTCCCCCACGCAGAGCCTGAGCCTCTGGTCTGAGCTGTCTCAGGCAGTGCTCATGGCTATTCAAGTGTCCTTCATCCTTGCCTCCCCCACTGTTTGAAGGGGAGGGACAAAAAACAGTTTAAATGGGAACAGAAAAGATGTCTAGAGATGAAGGGGAAACCTTGATGTGAGAGACAAAGCTTGGATCCCTTATCCATGTGCCTGACACTTTCCTCTCTCCATAGTGAGTCTGTCCCTAGACCCTGAGACAGCCAGTCCCAGACTCATGGTGTCTGAGGATCAGAAAAGTGTGAAGCGGCTGCTATTTGATCAGGACCTGTATCCCGATTCCAGAAGATTTGAACAAGACCCCTGCATCCTGGCCCAAGAACGGTTTGAGGCAGGGAGACATTACTGGGAAGTGGAGGTTGGGGACAGGAGGGCCTGGATCGTGGGTGTGTGTCTGGAGAGTTTGGGACGGGAAGGAAGGATCCCCAAGTCACCCCAGCATGGCCTCTGGGCACTGGAGTTTTATAAGAAGAAACTCCAGGCCCTCTCCTACCCCAGGACTCGCCTGTCTCCTCCGGAGCCCCTCCGGCGGGTAGGCGTCTCCTTAGACTTCGAGGCGGGAGAGGTCTCCTTTCACAATGCGACCAATGGCTCCCTGATCTATTCGTTTTCTGGGCTGTCCTTTTCTGGTCCCCTACAGCCATTCTTCTGCCTCTGGACCCACGACCCCAAGCCCCTGACCATATGCTCAGTGGTCAGAGAGAATGAAGAAGACACAGAATTCTCTGGGGGTCCTTGATCTCCCCGGGGACTCCTGGGGTGTCCTTAGGAGAGAGAGGCTCCTCCCTTCTTACTCACCCTGGCTCCTGGTACTAGTCATTCCTTTCCCATGTAAAAATATGGCAAGACACCAGGGGCTTGATATGCTCCCTCTGCTAAATTGCTGTGCCGAATGCTGACACCCCCAGGACAGGAGGATGGATTTCTGAAGATGTTGTAATTTGGAGATGAGGCATTGAGATTGAGGTTAAAGGAAGTCAGTGATGTACCTACCTTACCCCACAGATCTAGTGTTCTTGTAAGATTGAAGATCGGGACTTAGAGAGGTGCCACTCACTAGCCAAGGACACCAGTAATGCCCCGGTCTCACATTTCTAAACCCTGGGACTGAAAGCCGTTCCTGCTGAGTGAGAATCCTGCGAATCTCCTGTGCTGAGGTACTTAGTCATGGCTGTCCTCCCTCAGTGAGGAAAACCACACGATAATCACACCAGGGGCTGTTTTGCTATGCTCTTAGAGTCCTATGTATATAGAATATATGTGCGCATGTAGAATGTCCAGGGCCCGGTGTGTTGTGGCTGCACAGTAAATTGCAGTCTTAACCTCTTCTTGCTCTTCCTCCATCATGTTCATCTTTCTCTTGTCCACTTTTCTTTCCTCTCCTCCTCACTTCCCTCCCCCTCCTTCCCTCCTTCTCCCCCTTCTCTTTCTGTTAAGTGATTTTACTATTAATTTTTAACTATGTGGGGGTGTGTGTTTGTGCACATGAATGCAGTGCCCACAGAGGCCAGAGGACAACATCTGATCTCACGGAACTGGAGTTCCAGCGGTTGTGAGCAGACAGATGAAGGTGCTAGACAGAGCTCAGGTCTTCTGCAAGAGAACCAGGGCTCTTCATCATAGAACCATCTCTTCTCTTTGTCCTCCTCTTCCAATCTCTTTCTGCCTTAAATATCTCTCTCTCTCTCTCTCTCTCTCTCTCTCTCTCTCTCTCTCTCTCCCTTGCTAGGAAAGACTAGATCAATCCACACAAAGGCAAAGATCCCAAGATTCCTAAGGCTTTGGTCAGAGTTCAATGAGGACAGAAACCACGTCCGTACTGACAGAGAAAACAGATGAGAAGTGGGTGTTAATGGACACTTGAGAACACAAAACAAGAATACAGACATGCATGGAACCAGCTTTCGGCTCCCTGGGATTCTTCCGCTCCGAGACTGTGGGCAGAAAGAGCTGAGGGTGTTGGATGCTGTTCCGTGGTGCTGGTACCACAGTGCTGAGAAAATGCAGTTGTTTAGTGAAGCTGGTAGTCCCAAGAGAAACAGAGTCACGCCGTACCCACACCCAACATTTCCTCTTGTTGCTTGTTCCATGTTCGAGCGGGGATACGTTTGTGTGATCGGTGTGGTGTTCAGGACCACAATCCAGGAGGACTGGGGCTTAAGGTTAAGTGCTCTGGCCTCAAAGCCACTAGTGACTCTTCCCACCGCATTTTGGAGACCAGAAATCTGAACTGAAATGTTGGCGGGCTTGGCTGCCCCAGGATTCATGGGAAAACCTAAACCAGGCCTCCCTCCCGGTGCCTGGAGGAGTCCAACCCTCCCTGGCCGGCAGGAGCTTCGATGCAAGCCTCTTCTCTGTGTCTCTCTTTAAAATCTTCCTCTTAGACACACAATCCAACTCAGAATCCACTTTAACCCGAGCTGACTCCACCCTCCTGTTTGTAACTTGGTTGCATCTGCAAAGACCTTTTTCTGCAAATGATGCCAGTCACAGACGGGAGAGCTGGGACTCCCATATATCTGGGGAACACACAACCTGCCATAGTGGGTTGGACTTGAAAGGTCCTGGCAGAGTGGTGGGCAAATCTCTGGGAGAGGGGCTGGTTTAGAATGCCTCCTCAGACTGAGGAGATCATTGTGCATAATAGTCTCTATATGTGTGAGAGAGACAAGGTCCTCACAGACAGATGAAGACCACCTAGTGTTTTGGGTTCACAGTCAAAGGCAGTTATAACTAGTCAGTGGATTAGCAAGTAAATGTCACAAGTGCAGGTGGCCCCTGAGCTAGGCTTTGGAGAGAGGCTGGCATTTTTATAGAAAGAAATGGGAGAAGAGAGGAGACTGAATAAAAGACCTGTCCTCACCACCTGCACATTACAGTTTTTCAACCTTTTGGTGGTAATATTAACTTTTTTCCAGCTTTATCAGTGTGATATTTATATGTAACAAATTTGCTAGATTAAAAAAAAAAGAGTTGGGGCTGGAGAGATGGCTCAGAGGTTAAGAGACCTGGCTGCTCTTCCAAAGGTCCTGAATTCAATTCCCAGCAACCACATGATGGATCATAACCATCTATAATGAGATCTGGTGTCTTCTTCTCGAGTGCAGGTGTACATGCAGATAGAACAATGTCTACATAATAAATAAAAGATTAAACAAAAAGAAAAGAAAGTTATGTGTTAAGCAGAGATCCACCTGCCTCTGCTCCCGAGTTCTGGGATTAAAGGTGTGTGGCACCACTGCCCAGCTAGAGGTTCTTTGGGGTTTTTTTGGGTTTGTTTTTATTTTTGTTTTTAAATTTAAGATTTATGTATTTTATGTGTTCTGTGTATATGGGTGTTTTGTCTGAATGTTTGTGTGCACACCAGGAGGTGGTGCATGCCTTTAGTTTCAGGAGGCAGAGATCTCCTGAGTGTGACAATACCAGCCTAATCTACAGAGAAGCTTCCAGGACAGAGAGGGAACAAAAAATTAATGTCTCTCTCTCTCTCTCCTCTCTCTCTGTGTGCACATGAGCCCACGCGTGCGCACACACATACACACACGCATGCACATGTGTCCTCTCCTCCCCCATGGAGGCCAGAATAGGGCACTGGATTCCCTTACAGCCACACTTAAGGCATTTGCGAGCTGCCCAACATGGATGCCAGAGACTGCACAGCTGTTCTTAATGATGGAGCGGCGGGTGCTTAATCAGCTTCAAGCCTTCTTGTTTGAAGACTACAGCACGGTGAACGTTGGTCAACACGTACTCGTGTAGCAGCACCAGCAAGACATGAGTCTTTGTCCATAAAAGTTCTCTTGGACTTGCTGGAACTTGATTCCCATGTGGTCCTACTCTAGGTTGCTACCGATCCTGTAGAGTCTTGTTTTGTTTTGATTTTCCCCTCTCTCATTCTTGGACTTATTTTGAAGTCAGTCCATTTAAATTGTGGAGTGTTACTGATACAATTAACTTTCGTTTTTCTCTTGGTGTTTTATTTGATATCTCTATACAGTGATTCTTTTTACCTGTACTGGAATTTAAAATAAATGGAGTCATACTATAACTTTTTTTGTTTTTAAAACTTCTGTGTTGGTTCATTTCCTGTTTTCATAACAAAATACTTGCAGCTGGGAAACATGAAGAAAAATGTTTCTTAAGCTCAAATTTTTGAGGAGCTCATAGGAAGACAACCTGATGAACCCCAGATGGCTGCTTCCTTTTCACCATCCAATCAACACACAGCCTTTCTCTCCTCTTCTGCTCAGGTTTGGCTTTTTTTTTTTTTTTTTTGTCTCGTCAACTTGCACAAGCTAGAGTGTTTTTATGGGAAGAGGACACAACCGAGAAAACACTTCCATCAGACTGCCTTCAGGGCAAGACTGTAGAGCAATTTCTTGACTGATTATTAATGTGGGAGGGCCACTGTGGGTGGCGCCAGCCCTGAGCAGGTGGTACTGGGTGCCATGAAAAAGCAGGCTGAGCAATCCAGTAAGCAGTAGTCATTCATGGGTTCTGCTTCAGTGCCTTCAGCTTTCTGCCCTAATTCCCCTTCATGAAGAACTACACCTGTAAGCTGAGATCTTTTTCTCCTCAAGTTGCCTTTGGTCGTGGTATTTTATCACAGCAATAGAAGAGCGAAGGACAACTTTTTCTAAGGTCCCCAATATCAGCTGTGACTGCTTGAATGAGAAATGCCTCAGTAGACTCCCGTGTTTGAACACTTGCTCCCTGGTTGATGGTGGGTTTGGGAAGGTTTAGGAGGTGGGGCCTTGATGGAGAAAGCATGTTACTGCAGGCAGATTTGGAGGGCTTATAGCCGCAACCCACTTCCAGTTTGTCCTCTCTGCTTCCTATGTGTAGCTGAGAAGGGATCCCTTAGCTTCCTGATCCAGCTGCCCACTGCCATCCCTCCCCTGCCAGTGTGGACACTTTCTCTGAAACCGTTAGTCCAGGTTTACTTTCTTTCTTAACTTTCTTCTGTCGTGATATCTTACCACAGGAACTGAAGAGTAACTAATACAACAGCTGACTGGGGAGGCAGACTTCAGTTTTAGAGTGGTTTTTTTGAGCCAGGATAACCAGGCTGGATTGGAACTTGATTCTCCGAAGTGCCAGTATTGGTTTAGGGCTGAGCTTTGCATTCATGCTTTCCCTCCTGCTGTCCCTGGCTCCAGTAAGGCTCTCAGCCAACTGGGTAATGGCCATCCACATTGGTAAGCAGGGCTCTTTACTTCAGTACACTGTCATGGAGACATTGAATAACACTATGTTACCAAATAACTGGGTATCACTTTGCTCGGTCCTGCTGGGACATTAACCACCATGGCTGATTCACCCAGACTTCATGGAAAGGTAGGAGCATGACACCTTTAAATGCTGTTGAACAAGCGCAGGGATCCTATGGGACCTTTCACAACATTCCTCTATCCTGTTGCTACGAAGCCTGTCCCCACCCCACTCCCCTATGCTCCCTTAATTATGTGTGTGTGCATGTGCGCACTGTGGCACACATGTAAGGGTCCGGGGACAAGCTGTGGGAGTTGGTTCTCTCCTTGTACAGCATAGGTTCCAGGGATTGCTCACTCAGGTAGTCAGGCTCGGTGGCAAGTGCCCTTACCTGCTGAGCTGTCTCAACAACTTCCCATTCCCCCTTTAAAATGCCTTGTGACTTCTGTACAAGTCCAAGTTGAGGTCAGGTCCCCTGAGGGTCTTTCCCTGCTGGGATGCGTCCTTGCTGCTTAAGACCTCTGCTTA